TTTTTTGACTTTCATATAGTCTGGATATGTAAAGTAAAATATTTCGAGACTTTTTTTGTTTTAACTTTATAGCTCATCGCTCATTGAAATCAGAATCCCACTGTCTCAAATTATCAAAGTATTTCCTAAGATCAATTTAAAAAAGGTTTTAAAATACAGTTTATACTGAAACACAAACGTACTTATGATGGTATTGGATGAAGAGTAAGAGGAATATTAATGTTAAATTAAATGTCTGTACAGTTTCATTGCAGCCCTTTCAACAGATTCAAGGTAAAAAAAAAAAAAAAGAAAGAAAGAAAAAAAGCAACAGTTACAAATTTGAGTTCAACAATTGTTTAATGCCCATTTGTACCAAAAAAAAATTGTTTCAGCATGTTTTTATTCATTGTTACTGCAGTGAGCAGCAGAGTTTATTATCGGGGCTCTGCCAGGAATCCATCTGTTAAGCAAACCCATAGCATCAGAATAAAAGACTGTAATAAGAATACATTTCGACCTGAAACTGTAAGAACAAAAAATAAGTCAAGACATAACTGATATTAAAAGTGAAAAAAGGGAGAACAATTTAGCTAAGAAATCACAACAAAACCAATCGCTTAGTGAGTTGAGACAAAATATTTACATCGTTTCAATGAATTGAAAAGTCTGATCTAACAGAGTATTCAACACGGTGCACTAACAACATGTAGCAGCATTCTACATGCTGGAATGGTAATGACTCACAGCTGCTGTAGAGGCACGGCTCTCCCTGATCCTGCAGTCATTTACACGCTATCAGTGTTTGTTTCTTGATATCTGATCCTGGTTCTGATGAACAAAGAATTCTTTACATCGCGATCTGTGCTTTTAAACAAATGTACATCGTGCAGCAGCACCTTGTCAAATCTCATCCTGTCTGATCCAGGTGAACCGGTCCCTTCGTTTCCTGGATGACAGAAGTCCTCAGCATCCGTTCTTCCTGATGCTGTCCCCTCCGGCTCCTCACTCGCCCTGGACGGCAGCGCCTCAGTACCAAAAGAAGTTCAGTAATGTTCAGGCCCCTCGAGACGGCAGCTTTAACAAGCTGGGGAAGGTGAGCCCCAGATAATATCAGACGATATGTATAATGCCTGATTCTTAATCGTGTTTTCAATGAACCCCCATTCATGTGCGCTTTCCAGGACAAACACTGGCTACTGCGTCAGCCGGTCAACCCCATGCCCAACAGCTCGCTCACCTTCCTGGATGATGCCTTCAGGAAAAGGTACAATGGCTGAAGATTTCCCCCCCTTTTAGAACAGAAGAAACATGTTAGACATGATAATTTAATTGAACTATTCCTTAGCTCCCTTTGCTGATGGTATCTGATGAAAGCAGTGCTCGAAAGTGTCATAGTAGATAAATGATGATGTGTGGCAGGTGGCAGACTCTGCTGTCTGTGGACGACATGGTAGAGACGCTCGTGAAGAAACTGGACAGTATGAAGGAGCTGGACAACACCTACATCTTCTACACCTCAGACAACGGCTACCACACAGGTCTGCTCCGACACCACCTTTTGCTGTTTTTTTTTTTGTGGTTGCTTTAGGGCACTGTGTGCAGCTTTTTATCTGTGGTTGTTTGCATAACTTTGCAATAGCTTTTCTTCTTTCTTGGATTGTTCTACATTTTCTATGGCAGTTGTGCATCATTTTGTGGTTATTTTGAATCTCTGTTTTTGTGAATATTTTACATGTCTTTTATGTTTCCATTTTGCATGTTTTTGGGGTCATTATGTGTCTTTGTGGTCGTTTTATCTATGGTTTTACATCACTGTAGACATTTTGTGTCTCATGTTCATGGTTATTTTGAGGCTTGTTTTGTGTCTTTTTCTGATATTTTGTCTCTGTGGTTGATTTGCATCACTTTGCACATATTTTGTGTCTCCTTAGTGTTTCCTGTGCATCTGTTTGTGGTTGTGTCTTTGTGATCTTTTAGCATCTGTGCTAACTTTGCATCACTTAGCAGACATTTTGTGCCTCTTTTTTGCTTGTTGTGTGACTTTTTGTGGGGGTTTTTGGTGTCATTTGTATCTCTGTTGTTTTATTCCATTTTGTGGTCATTTTGTTCTTTTTTCCTGACACTTTGTGGACTTTATTTGTCAAAAGTTAACAGCAAATTAGTTAATTGCTGAGCTTAGCTGAGTAGCAGCAACTGTTGCCTCTTGACTGTTGAAGTTCATGAGTTTTTGTCTGATTAAACTACCTGTGAATCATATATAATTTCACAAAAGTCTCATTAGTTGAATAGAGCAATAAAGCAATGCCAGCAACACATTTTGCTTGGAAATTGGAATTAGTATTTTAGATTAAAACATAAAGAGCAGCGTTTCAGGGACTGCTTGTGTAAACTACGTGACTGATCAATTATTAGCCTTAAAGAATGTTAAATTAAGCTTTTATACGGTAAATATCACTAACACAGTTTAGTTAAGGACTCTCGCTGTTTCAGTATTGGCTGTTCTCTGCCTGAGTAGAAAACTATTTCTCGTCTGTCGACTATAAATCTGCTGTAACCACCATCTTCACTGTTCCAGGTCAATTCTCGCTACCCATTGATAAAAGGCAGCTGTATGAATTTGACATTAGGATCCCGCTCATGGTCCGCGGTCCTGGCATCAAACCGAACCAGACGCTGCAGGTCAGCGCAAACGTACACTAACACACACACACACACACACNCACACACACACACACACACACACACACACACCAGCCTGTTGTTCATCATTTCCTCATGTTATGACTCCTCTAGGCTCTGGTACTTAACATCGATCTGGCTCCCACCATACTAGACATATCTGGTATGAACCTGTCAACTGTGAATGTAGATGGACAGTCCTTCCTTGCTCAGATGGTCAGTGGCTTCTATACATTGATTTTAATGGTCTCCTTGTGCTGCTTTTTTTTACTGAATCTTAACTGAGACTTTCTGCTCAGGCTCCATCACTACGTAATGGAACGGCACGGCCATTTTTCCTGGTTGAATACACCGGAGAAGGACATCCAACCACGGACCCTGCCTGTCCTAAACTGGGCCCTGGACTGTCTGTGAGTAGCTACCACAAAAAACTAGTTGATCAATAACAGTCGTTAATAATAATCAACCACAAAGATAAAGATGAAAATAATAATGGAATTATTACATCCATCCATCCATTCATCCATTCATTATCTATACACTGCTTAATCCTCACTAGGGTCGCGGGGGGGCTGGAGGGTCGCGGGGGGCTGGAGCCTATCCAAGCTGACTTGGGGTGAGGGCAGGGGACACCCTGGACAGGTCACCAGTCTATAACAGGGCTACGCTTAGAGACAGACAACCAAGCACACTCACATTCACACCTACGGACAATTTAGAATCATCAGTTAACCTCAGCATGTTTTTGAACCGTGTGGGAGGAAGCCGGAGAACCCGGAGAGAACCCACGCTGCACGGGGAGAACATGCAAACTCCACGCAGAAAGATCCCAGGTGTCCTCACCGGGACACGAACCGGCAACCTTCTAGCTGCGAGGCAGAAGTGCTAACTACTGATCCACCTTGCAGCCCAGAAATTATTATAATTCATCCTAAATATAAAATAAAGGAATCAGGTAAATTCAAGTTCACTTAAAGACACAAATATCATGTTAACAAGACAACCACCAGGTTGAGCTAAATGATTAAATGATGATTAAATGGTTAAATCCTTTGTCTACCATATCTCATAATTGTACTCTGCTACCTCATAAGTTGGAGAAAATACAGTATTCAACAGAAGTGAGCACACCTCTGTGAAATGGCTACAATATGAAATTATTGCATTAACATGGGTACAAAATAAGCTATGGACACCAGAACTTTCTTAGCTTTGGAACTGTGGGCTGTGCCTTTCTGCATGTCTGCATCATGCATGACTCTGCATAGAAAACAACTGATAAATCCAAATGTGAGGCTTCACAAAGAATATAGGAAGTTGCAGCAGTAATCAGGAGTTATAAAATGAGCCATGGTACCATTAATCAGAGCTGCAGTAGCCATCTTCCTTAGAAGATGCTGCAGACAGAGTTGGCCACAGAAGTTATCAATGGAAATCTGTGTTTCTGTGGCAGCTCAGACAGTGTGAGCGGTAGTTCATCATATCATCAACCTTTGTGGAAGATGTTCAAGACGAACATTATTGCTTGCTCTTAGGAACAAAACTGTAAAATTTTACTTCCTGAAGAACATGAAAAGAAACCTCACAAAAACTGAGAGGACATTCTTTGGTCAAATGAGATCAAGATAAATTTGTTCAGCTCAGATGGAATCCAGCATGTTTGGTGTGAACTGGACTAGAGGGGTGTACTACAAAGCAAGTTTGACATAGCCAGGCTTTCTTTGTGTAAGCCGAATCGACAAAACCGAAAGCCCAGGCCAGAGATTACGGGCATCGAGAAAGGTGGTTAGACTTTCTGCTTCAAACTCTGTGAGCGTTCACATAAAAGGGGGCGTTTAACGCGTCACATGACTCTTCTTCTGCACAAAATGAATCGATCGTGTGCAGCTGCTTCAGTCAACACATTGTTTTAACAGAGAACAATGAGGAATATATATATATATATACATATATAAATATGACGGTAAAAAGCGCCGCTACTGCAAATGATGTAAGACAGGACTGCTGGTAGAAAAATGTTAAACGTGTTAATATATAATATTTTACTGATGCAGCTGCTTATTTCCAACTGACAGCTGCACGATAAAGTTAAACTTTAAAGTTCATACATTTAAACATGATCTTGTATTGAAGTGCATTTAGGTCTGACACTGTCCCATAATACAGGATATCGCTTTCATTTTTGGCCCTACAGAGCAAAATGAATGTTATTGATTGAATATTCTCTGTAATAAATACCAGTAGAATAATCTATTTTCTGTGTTCTATCAGCTGCAGTACCAGCAGTATAAACGTATTTGACAGAAAATCAGAGCCAAACTTAAAAACATACTTATGTGATTTCTGCATCGCCAATATAAGATGCCGGGTTCCCATGGCAACGTGATATTTACAGTACGGCTGGACCCGAACATCCAAATTTCCAAATATTCGGTCATTGTAGTGATACATGAACAGCAACAGAACTGTGACCGCCAAACTAAACTGGCATCAGCAGCCAAGTACTGCCTGTGCGGAGTGCTTGGTCTCCGTCGACTGTGGGATACTGTAACTACACGGCTTCATTCAGTGATATTAGTAACACACAGCTCAGCATGTTTACAGATAAAACACATTCCCTCAGCTGAGAATCTGCATCGCTCATAGATAATAGTCAGGAAACGATCTGGTTAAAGGGAAACGCTCTTTCCAGCCGATTTAAATTTAAAACTCTGCAAATAACCTGCTCCCAACGAGGTTAGCTCCACAGCATAAGTTACCATGGAGATCTATCTAGGTAAAAAGAGAGCCACCTTCATGATACTGAAAACTCTGACTTTAAGGTCAACATGCCTCGCTAATCCACTAATCTCGTGTCGTAGTACAGCCCTCTGGACTACCGCAGTGAATGCATAGTCCTGACAGTGAAGCACAGTGGTGGGAGTGTGGTGATGTGGGGCTGGATGAGTCCAAAAACTGTTGGAGAGATAGCATTTATAGATGACTTCATGAATATATGTGAATACACCAAAATACTGGCTCACCAAATGACTCCCTGTCTGCAAAAACTTGACAGAATAAGAATATTCCAGCATGATAACCATCCAAACCACAAAATCACAAGATTCAAGAGCTTCTACAGAAGAACAAAGTGAAAACTATGACCTGGACAAACAAATGCAGACAAACACAACCTTTCCAGCAAAGACTGTAGAAGTACTGAAAAAACAAAAGATTTGGATCTTGGTGATGAAAGGTGTACTAACTTTTGTTGCATTGAGTTCCTACAGTCGGGTCTCTATTTTTAATATAGTAAATCTAAACTGTTAGTTTTTACTTTGACATCAGAGCAAATACCTGCTGTTCAACATAAAAATATTGAAAGTATTGAGAGGTGATACGATATTGAATCATTTGACATTTCAGTGATAATGCACACCAGTGTATTCATCTCTGTCATATATTGCAGACTATAATAATGGATCTCAGGTTGCAGCCCACAGTGCAACTCACTGAAACAATAACAACAAACCTTATGATTCCTGTTATTTGTTCATGCTGGACATGTTCCTGTAACATTTTCCAAAACTAACACTTTGTTTTCCTTCAGCAATGTTTCCCAGATTGTGTGTGTGAAGATGCCTACAACAACACATATGCCTGCGTCAGGACCCTCGACAGCCAACACAACCTGCAGTATTGCGAGTTTGCGGACAGCGAGGTACAGCAGGACTCTTTGGTTTTTGGTGACTCTTGTATTTGATTTTTGTGGAAACTGTTGTGAAGCATCTGTCTGGTTCTTTCTCCTTAGTCCTTTGTGGAGGTGTATAACCTGACGTCAGACCCGCACCAGCTGGAGAACATTGTAAAGAAGGTGGATCCGACTGTCCTACAGGCAATGAACCAGCGGCTCATCAAGCTGCAGTCCTGCATGGGTGACAGCTGCCGTGACACCAGTTAGCATGGAGGGATGCCGGCGAGGAGGCTGCCAAACACAGAAGACCGCGTTGTACTGAGAGCAGACGGTGGGGTCGGTTTGTCTGAACTTTTACCACAAGTATGATGTCGTGTTTGACAAGGAAAAACACAAGTGTAACTAATGAAATAAGTCACAGCTGAGTTCCATTTTTGCTGCTTCAGTGCCAGAGCCCTGGTGTTGTGTAGAACTGAGTCATTTGATCTGTTGATGATATTTAGATGTTTGTGCAGCAAATATGAATCCTGGCTCTGTTAATCTGAACACAAGCTGGATTCTAAACATGAGAAATCACTGTTTGAATAGGACTTGCATGCAGGACTGCTTCTTAGACTGGTTCAGTAATGGAACAGAGTAAAACTGTGATTTGTCGTTTTAATACTGTGTGGACCCTCAGCCACATTTCTATTTATAACACCTGAACTTTTCCTTTTCTATTGTTGCTGTTCATCTGAGCTGTGCTCATTTATTTAATCCTTTAAAGAGTTTATTATAGTTTCTTTTAAGTAGGGGTTGACTGATATGACTTTTGCAGGGCCACTACAGATTATTAGTAATCAAGGAAACCAATAATCAGTGTTTGAGACTGTTATCATTTGCAGGAATAATTAAAATTATTGTCAAAGTTAGAATACCAGTGCCATTCGTTTTGAAAGGAATGCTGTCTTTAAAAAATGCCAAAGTAACAACATTTATCAGAGCCAGAAACTGTAAAAAAAGAAAGAATGGATGGATTTGAATTATTCTTATGAGTCTGGAACTACTAATCTGTAATTTGCCATTACATCAGGACACGTAACTTAGTCTGAGCCTGAAATTGTGATATTTCATCAAAATCACTTTTTTCTATTTGTCTTATTTAAAAGCTTGCAAGTAATAAATCGTTTACACTAACCAGAATCTGTAACAGATTGAGTGATATAATTCTGTGTTCCTCAACGCTAATGTGAAGCCTTTACTAACTCAGCTGTTACCACCTGTCACATGAAAACAATGTTCAGGTGAACTGCTGGTTTTGTTTACACAAAACGGATAGGAGACAATTATGAAAACAAATTTAAAACGTAGGCACATGGAAAAATGTTGTACATTTTCAATTTTTGTTACATTTTTTGCAAAATAAGTAATCAAAGAAATTCATAATTTTTTTTAGGATTTGTGCCAACATAACTGGTCATACTGCATATATGACATTTCAGACATTATACACATGACCAAATGTGAAGTTCTCTTTACTTCTCGCAGTGGTTGTGCTGTTTCTACAGAGATGCAGGACTTTATATTGCAATGAAAAATTAGTCCACAGTAAGGAGAAATGTGACAGGAGCAAAAATAAATAGAAATAAATTAAACACCAAAAAAATACTTGCTGTTCATGAGGTTAAATTCATTTATTTTATTTGGAATCAGTTAAAAGAAATGAATAATGGATCCAGGCCAATTAAGGTCGACCCCTACTTTTAAGATAAGCTTTTCCTGTTCTTGTCCACACTGTGACGTGTTTCTGCACATAAACTGCACTGAATGTTCAGGAAAACTTTACCAATCACAGAAACACAAAATGTTGTCGCATGTACGGATTTTGTTAAAACGATACACAACCAAAGGTTTGTTAGAGCACTGGAACACCCCTTGAAGAACTTTTATTAGATTTCCTGATGAGAGTTTGATAGGAACATTGGTACTGTTCTCTTGTCTGTCTTTTCCATGTAAAGCTACCACTAGCAGCTAGTTAGCTTAGCACAAACATGACTGCTTTCTATTATTACATCATATCTCAGTTGTTTAATTCTTGCAAAAGCTGAAGCGTAAAAATCACGCTGTATGGTTTTATGCTAAGGTAACCATCTGCTGGCTCTACATATTTAATGTACAGATGCGAGTGCGGTATTAATCTCCTCTTCGAACTCGTTAGCTCTGTTTTCATTACCATCTTCATAGTTGTGCTTACAATTTTATTTCTGCAGCATTTTTAGGGAAAGTTTGCCTTAAATGGACACACGGTCCTGTGTCCAGTATTGACTGCAGTTTTTACCTGAGATATAAAGAATGCACATTTTGCATTTTTAGCCCTGATGTTTCTATTCATGGAAACTTTTGCAAAGAGCCTTTTAACAGTGGGACCTGGAAGATGTGCTATACGATTTTCAGAGATGATTTCTAACTGTGAGGAATCTACATATCAAGGGACCTTTTGCACGCTTCAGTCCTGTATGCCTTGTGTTTGCACTGATGAGGCTCATATGCCTTTTAAATGTGAATGAATTTGCACTGTGGTGAAACTGATTAAAAATATGTCGAAAGCATTTAGATGCGCTTGTCATGATTATTTCTTATTGTAGATGTGTGTGTGATTTAAATGTTGACAAGTACATTTTAAAAATTACAATTAGGAGCCTTTTTTAAAGTTGTTTTACAGTGAACCTTCAAAAATGTAATTAAAAAAAAATCCTTCAATTTTACATTTCTTGGTTTTCCACCTTCTTGTCTACAAGTAAACCACTCTGTGTTTGAAAGATACTTTTCTTAATTAATCAGAATCAGACATTCTTTATGGATCCGTGAGAGGAAATTGCTTAGAAAACAACAGTGCCTATACACTTTTAATTTAGCATATTTTTAGCTTATGAACTGCTCCTAATCTTGCATTTGTAAGATAGTCTACAGCTTCAGTTAATGAGCAGCATGTTTTACATGAAAACAAACAAGTATGTTTTATTGTCACTTATGTTTACACAGCAGCCTCTACTCACATAGCTGTAGGCAAATACAATATTAACTTTGTTTTTATTGACTGGATTTAATCTTTAATTATCTTAACTACCCATCAGATATTTTGTCTTATTCCATTGTTTTTGTCTGCATGAGTCTCTTAAACTACTTTTTTTTATCCCATGTTTTTGTCAGTCACACTTTGAACTACATTTGATTTGCATGAAAAGAACTAAATCTGTAGAGACTGATTTTAATTAACATTAAACATTGATTGAATTTCTATCTTCTTACAATTATATCAAAGTGTTAGAACCATTTGTAATGGGTTTATATTCTGCTTATAAATGCAAGAATGTGAATTAATAATAATAATAATCATGTGAACTGTTACAAAAATGCCACCTGAAGTATTTTATATGGTCCCAGACAGATTATTTATTTCAAAGCAGGAACATGAAATGAATGCACTGATGTATCAGATCATTTTATCTTATGAAACAACAGTCTGCTTTGGAAATACAAATGTGACTCGCTTTAGTTTTTCCAAGGATCCAAAGGCTTCTTCAAATGTCAACGATGAAATAAATAAGTTCATTTCACTGAAAACTGTCGACAGGAACTGTCATGTTCCTGTTAGTGCCTATGATTAGCATTAACACAGTTCCATCAGATGTACTTGTACACAGCTTTGTCCTGTAGGGTTTGGACCTCTAACTTGACGGGACATTTGTAGAAGTGTGACAATAGCGTCTCCGTGTAGCCGATCAAGAAGTAAAACTTCAGCGGCGACATCTTTTGTATCATTAAAGCGCACACAATTAACATGTTGCCGCGCCTTTTGAGCACGATCTCATTGGCCAGGCTGCCATGGAAGGTTCCAAACATGAACTTCCGGATGAAGACGTCCTCCATGGTGCGTTCGGCCGCCCCCTCTTCACCTTTGAGGTTACCTGTGAGGAAGAGGAGCATGGAGAAATGTACTGAGATATAATGCAAGTGATGGATGGTGATGTTTGAACCAAAGGATCTTTTGAAATCAAGATGCATCATAGCAAAAAACTTCACAGATATTCTTCTCACTAATCTTAGAAATCCACAGAAAAATAATGCTGCTAATTTTTAGGGATACAAAATTCTCATTACAGGTTAACTACTTTTTATAGTACTGTGAGATGTATCCATTATACAGGAAAGACCAGAAATTCCTCCTGAGGAATAATGTTACAGTGAGAAGAAGCAGCTTTTTGTCTAAAGAATGTAGGACTCAGAGTTTCTTGTATGATATGGAAAAGTGACCATGGGTTAAAATTACAAAACTTTGTATACTATCAATGCTTAGCAAGGAGAAAAAACAAAAGCAGAAGGCGTCGGTGTCAGTAAATGTTTGGGAAGATACAGTCAGCACTGTTTATTGTTCAGCAAGAACTGGAGGTGAGATTTGATCAGTTTTTGTATCTGTAGCTAACGTTAACCTTAGAGGCTAGAAGTTCAAGCTGCTTGAAGACAGCACCCCCTGCTCTGAGCAGAATAGTGATATTCATAACCATCCAGTTTTAATGTGTATATTTCAAATATGTTTGATATTGCTGGGGCAGCATCAGAGATAACTCAAGACTTAAAATAATTGTTAGTTACAGCCTTATTTCTGACTGGGCAGATATGTTTGTGCCTGATTTTCCAGAAACTAGGTTAGTCGGAGAATTCTAATAAGATGATATTTTATTAAACCAGTTGACAGTTGCCAATTTTTAAATGTATCTTTTTTAAAAAACTAATAATAACTACAAGCTTGGAGGTGTTTTGCTTGTAGGACTCTTATGATGGGCATATTGTGTAGCGCAGGGGTGCCCAATCCTGGTCCTCGAGAGCCGCTATCCAGCATGTTTTAGATGTTTCCCTCTTCCAACAGCTCTCGAGGACCAGGATTGGGCACCACTGTAGCACATAGTCATTCAACAAGTGTGTGCCCCTATAGCAGAAGAAAATACTGTTCTGCTGTGTGCACACTCATGTTACAAAGTAAAAAAACTGTTGCTTCTGTGGTGGCACTGTCCTAAAATGGTTAACACTGGTTGAGTTGTGAGGTTATATGCTTTTAAACAATGTAGAGTTTGTCAAATTTGATCCGAAACAGGCTGATTCCAGTCAACAAACAGCAGCTGAATCTACATTCCTGGGTTATTAAATACATTTGTGTATCTTGTGTCTGTGAGGCTTTTGTGTTTCAGAAGTCAGGACATGAAATGAAATGAATGAAATGAAAAATACTTTATTTATCCCAGAAGGGAAATTCAATCTTGTAAAAGCTCACTTTTTTTTCTTTTTTTTTTTTTTTAATTAATCAAATTTTTTTTGTTATTTTATTTTGACATGTACCAGTCCAATCCTGACAGTTAGAACGAGGCAGCCCAATAGAGTCTGAACAGTTCAGGAGGTTTTAGACTATGTCTGTAAACTCCTCACATTACCAAGCTCTCTGGACCAACATCAGTTCAGACCAAGATTTCAGACCTGATTCCTCCTCTGAGCGTTGGCAGGCTAAAATGGGGGTAAATCATCTGAAACTTCTCCAGTTGAAGCCCACCTTTAATAGTTCCACCTGTGCTTTTTACCTGCTAGGATGCGTCAAAATGTAGGTTGCATTTTTTAAGACCTTTGGAATATGGATTTGAGGATTTTAAGATATGGTCAGCCTCCTGAAACTCAAAATTTATAAAAATGTGAATCTTCCCTATTGCTGTCTTTCATCCTGCATGATGTGAACATGTCAAGCAGTATGTGAACGGGGTGTACTGCAGCTAAAACAGTTTGTAAAACGATCTTGGTCATGCTCACTGGTGTGCTGTGACAGCCATCCTTTGCAGTGGCCGATGTGATGAGGATGAAACGCTTGCTCGTAGGTCAAAGGTTTTTCTCCTTTCCCCACTCGGGTACGAGCGGCTCGATTCTGGAAAAGAAATGCAAAAGGAAGAATAAATGCTGATGAAAGAGAAACCCCAATTAAACACAATATGGCTGTTTGATATAGATTTCGGGGGGAAAACAAGATACATAGCACAACATGACATGTGTGATGCATAGAGCACAGTGTTTACCTTGCAGCATGCCGCAGTGACATGGAGACCTCTGCTTCCGGAGGAACTGCATAACAAACTGGACCGGGCTAAGGTGCTCTGAAAATCAGACAGCTATTAACCAGTGCAGAAAAAAGGAAAAGGTTTCCTTATTTTAAATGAAGGTCACTGATTTATAATAGTAGTAGTAAAAGTAATACTAGTCTTTGGGTATCCATTACATTTTTTATTCAATTCTGTGCAAAGTTTTAGAGACTATAGACTCTTATTCATCAGGAGGCCTCTGATCCTCCTAAATTCATTCTGCAGCTGAGTCTGAACATCCAGAGACATAAAAAAAAACATCTGTAGCCACAAGAAGAACAAGAGTCTTCTAATAGATGAGTTGACCCCCACACAGCCCTGAGACGTGGCCTAAGAAGCAAGCTCAGCATAGCCAGGACTTGTGCTAGCTGGTGCAACGAAGCCTGAAACCCCAATCAGAGATAATGTTTATCACCACAGTGGTTATCAACGTTTTCCCCTCAAACTCAGACTATGCAAGTCGACATAATAGCTGCCATTAGATGCTTCATGTGACTCTCAGACAGATGTTGTGCCGTGTACCTGGTAAAAGTAACATGTTGTTATAATGGAGCGCTATGAAGAATATAATAATATATTGCAATAAATAATTTTATTTTTATCTACAGGCAAATGGCTGTCACTGCGCTCCTTGAGAGGGGGTGCTTTTTTCCGGTCAGAAAATACTTGAAGCTGCATCATAAAATTGAGAACAACTAAATATCATTCGTGAACAAATGACATCACAGGTGAGACTGAAGGCATACAATTGACTTCGCTCGTAGTTACAAATACTAGCACGTTTAAGTGACACGTATAAACATTTTTGGAAACATGAGGAAACATCAGCATTGAACATTGATGCTCGGGTATCAAACGTTCAGAACCGAGCCAAATGAGCCACCGGCTTCTAAATAAACCTTTTCTGGAAACGTAGAGCTAAATTAACCAAAGCACAACGATATCTACAATATCAGCGTGGATTCACAGGTATCTTGACGTAAGTATTAAATAATTTTCCTACCAGCACCCTTACGGTCCCTGCGCTGCTCAAGGACGCCGCCATGTTTTCCTCAAAATTCAACGTGCAATGCTGAACGGCTAACGCTAGTCTCTATTTTTCTTTGTTCATCGATCTTATCATTTTATAAAACACGTCAGACTTTCGGCAAAGACTGCTGTAGTTATAACTCGTGTCAAAATGACAAACGTCTGTATTTCTTTTAGAAACTGTGGCTGTAAAGTGGAACTGTTTATTTGAGAGGCTGGTATTTGTTTCCACCGGACGACCTATGGGCTGTGCCAAGCAGAAATAAGAAAAATAAAACGGTAGTGGCTTTTATTAACCATATATATATATATATATTTGTTTTCTCGCTAAAATATATATCTTGCTTTCTGATATTTCCTCAAAACATACGCTGTCTTTTTTTTTATTTAAAGCGATTAACATGGAAATTTTGATAAGTTTTTAGTTTTTGCTGCTTAAAATCCTCATTTGATTTTTAAAAATCCCTTTAATGCTTAATTTTAGGGATTTTATTACTGAATTAATTTCATGCATTCAGCACGTCCTATTTGGCTCTCACGTGTATAACAGATGCATCTAAACAATAACTAATTGTTTTGTGTTTTTGTTTAGTTTTGGCTGGGTCACAAACTCATGTTGAAATACATTTATTTGCATTGTAACTGTTATAAGGTTAAACTCTGCTGTATTTTAACACTATTTCATCCTGTGACAATATGAAAATAATGGAAAATTTGTTTGTTTGTTTCCTTTCTTCACTTACATTTGTCTGTTCTGTTTACACTTTGGCATGTTCTCTTAAAGCTTCCCTGACCTGTCCAGGGTGTCCCCTGCCTTCGCCCTAAGTCGGCTGGGATAGGCTCCAGCCCCCCGCGACCCTAGTGAGGATTAAGCGGTGTACAGATAATGGATGGATGGACTTAAAGCTTCCCATTAATGTAAAAATAAATATCTTTGTCTTCAAAGCGAGACACTTAAGGCAAAATCTCGATTTTTCATGCACTGGTCAAAAACAACATTCAAAGCACATATTTAGGTTTTTGATTGTTTTTTTTTGTCTGGTTTTCTTTTAGAGAAACCTCAACTTCGATCACCCTTAGATACACCAAACTTTCCATTTTTATGTCTCAAAACGTGTAGAATTGTTTTAGTTGTGTATGTATGTATGTATGTATGTATGTATGTATGTATGTATGTATGTATGTATGTTTTTATTTATTTATTTATTTATGTTCTGTCTGTTTTGAATTATGGAAGAAGAAAATAGCAATCCAAAATCATTTCTATAAAAGCATTTGACTCTAACATTTCACCAAATGAAACAAACTACATTTCATTTTTTTCAAATTTCTTACAGTTGTACGTTTAATCCAAAATTCTGATATAAATTTCAGCAGGAAAAGTGCCATGTTGATCTTTGCGCTCTTATGTTGAAAACACAGCACCGGAAGCGTTGGTATTGTTCTGGAAACAGTGTGACAAACGTTCCGCAGCTGTGTCCAGTTTTTATACACTGTCATTTCTCGACACAGATTGGTTATTTCGGTTCTAACGGAAGTCGGTTAGAACACTTTACCGGTCTGTTGAAGGAGATAACCGTTAGAACCGTCCACACCGTGAGGAGCAGCGATGGCGTCGCCGCTGGAGATGACGGAGATGTACGACAACGCTTTACTGGGGATCTTGCAGCACGTCGGCAACATCCAGGACTTTCTGCAGGTCTACTTCGGCTTTCTGTACCGCAAGACGGACTTTTACCGCCTGCTGTCCGGTCCCGGCGACAAGATGGGCTTCCCCCCGGGAGTGGCGGAGAAGATGGTGCAGAAGGTGAAGTCTGTCAACATGTTAGCTAGCTGTACAGTACCGCTGGCAGGCAATAGGCACGTTAACGGTGACTGTGAAAGTTATTGGACCGCTAAATTACTGTTTGAGCAACGCTATAGAAATTACTGACCATTCAACCATAAAAATGGATATTATCAGGGTGTTTGCGAAATACCATTTTGTAAATTACAATCTGTATCGATATTATATTCCGTAAAAGTGAAGTTACCTGGATAGTGATTAAATATGTGCCACTTATTTAGCTTAACTATCCGTATGACTACTGTTATAAACGAACGTTAGCGGTGTATTCGCAAAATGTCTGTGGTTGTGAAACACTCACTGAGTTATAGGAACTTTAAAAATGACAGTTTGTACACCTGAATCAGTATTATTTACCAGTAAACAATAAAGACGGAAGTTACCAGGATATTAGCTAAATATCTGTGGTTATGGAGTATTCACCGACTTATGCGCCTTTGTTCATACTTACCATTAAATTAGTGACGTCATATGTTGTGGGGCACTCACTGAGTTATTTAACCTTCACAAATTGCATTCTTTAAACCTGTATCTGTTGGATACAACCTTTACATGTTTTAAACTGTTACCAGGATTTTAGTTAACTTTAAGTGCATATCATCAAACTGCAATGCTTTGTCAATTAATCAACTGACAGAAAATTAGTTGTTTGGTGTTGCCCCTACTTGATTGTAAAATATTTGGTGTGTTCAGACATGCACACAGTCCGTGAGCCCTGAACTGCATTTCTAGCTGCATTTGCACCTCTTAAAATAGTTCCCCAAGTGTTCCTATGTATGGGGGCCACTGAGCTACAGTCTCCGCTGCTGCAGCTAATCACAGTTTACTTACCCCTCTCTGGTGAAATTCAAGCCCTGATTTGTGATCCTCTTTTATTCCCTCCTCAGACATTTAAGTTGTTTGAGAAGTTGGCCGAGCATGACAGAGAGAGAATGCTGAGTGAGCTGCAGAGGCGAGAGGAGAGTAGAGGGGTTCCCTCTGCAGTTCAGGAGCTGGAGGTTGCCTCTGAGCCTCACCAGGAGACGGTGGAGCCGAGCACAGAGGCGGTGCAGATCAAGAGCTCAGCAACGGATGCTGCGGCTGCTTCAGCTCCCGCAGCCTTAGATGCGCCCGTCATCCCTTGGCCTGACAGCAGCAGCGGTAGCGGTGGTCCAGCAGCGAAGGGAGATCAGGCAGCTGCAGCCAACACAAAGTCAGCAGAACAGTGAGTACATGATGTTGTTTTTATCTATCAAAGATCCTCATTTGAATCAAATCTGCTTTGATTTGAAAATACATCAGTGTGTCTCAGTAAATGCATGTGCAGTGATTAATTATAATCTTGATCCCTATGTAGGGATGTCGCAGGGTACAAGTGTACGTAGAGGATAACTAAGAAAAAGTCCACTCCTAGAAGTAACTTGATACCAGACTCATCATCTAATCACGATTCCTTCTGTGTCAAAATATTTTTCTGACATAGTCCTATTTTAACATTTGTGAATTTAGCTTATGGCAAGTGTAGAGACAACGCTGGTGCTCATCATTAGATTGTAACCAACAGCTGTCTTTTCTATGTTGCTTGGAAAATGCTTGTGCAGGAATTCCTGTAGTTTTTTATCTATTGATGGATTGATACATAGATAGATAGAACTTTATTGATCCCTTTGGTATGAACCTCAGGGAAATTGTTGTACTAGCAACAACAACACAACACCAACACAACATTAGTAATAATAATAATAATACTAATACTAATAATAATAATGAATACAGTACAAATTGCCAAAGTGCCTAAATATTCCACACAGTCTGGTGATAGAGCATGATGCTCTGTCTCACCCCAATCTCACCCCAACGGCTAACAGTTCTAAATCCCAACAACACAGAACCACCTTGACAGAAACGTGACTTAGGTTACACCAGTGATTGTTAACGTACGTGATGAGACCCCCACCTCTGCTTTTTCCACATGCCTTCGTGTCTCTGTCCGCTCTCACTGTAGCGAAGCCCGGCAGGTCCACGTTAGCGTCCGGTGTTAGCTGGGTTAGCCACGATTCTGAGAGGATGAACAAGCTGCACTCCCGGTTGATACACTGGTTGATCAGCACCGACAGCTTGTCCATCTTGTTCTGCAAGGCGTTTACGTTTCCCATAATTACCGTCGGGATTGATGGTTTGAAACGCCTCCGGTCTGTTAGAGTAGCCTTCAGCCTAGCGCCAGCCTTGCTGCCCCGGTAACGCCTTCTCAGCTTAGCCGGGATGTGACATCATATTCCAGCCTGTCACATCGGCTTTAGAGCCAGTAGCTCCTCTTGAGAAAAAGTGAGGATCCTGGCTCCTCCAAAATCAAGCACCAAGGCATGCAGACTGTTTCTACACACATTTGTGAAAGAATGGGTCGCTCTCAGGAGCTCAGTGAGTTCCAGCACGGTACTGTGATAGGATGCCACCTGTGCAACAAATCCACTCGTGAAATTCCCTCACTCCTAAATATTCCACGGTCATCTGTCAGTGGTATTATAACAAAGTGGAAGTGATTGAGAATGACAGCAACTCACCCACAAGTGGTAGGCCACGTAAACTGACAGAGCGGGGTCGGCGGATGCTGAGGCACATAGGGAGCAGAGGTCGGCAACTTTCTGCAGAGTCAATCGCTAAAGACCTCCAAACTTCATGTGGCCTTCAGATTAGCTCAAGAACAGTGTGTAGAAAGCTTCATGAAATGGGTTGCCATACTAGAGAAGCTGCATCCAAGCCATACATCACCAAGTGCAATGCAAAGCATCGGATGCAGTGTTGGAAAGCACGCCGCCACTGGACTCTAGAGCGGTGGAGATGCGTTCGCTGGAGTGATGAATCACGCTACTCCATCTGGCAATCTGATGGACAAGTCTGGGTTTGGTGGCAGACAGGAGAACGGTACTTGTCTGACTGCATTATGCCAAGTGTAAAGTTTGGTGGAGGGGGATTATGGTGTGGGGTTGTTTTTTGGGAGCTGGGCTTGGCCCCTTAGTCCCAGTGAAAGAAACTCTGAATGCTTCAGCATACCAAGAGATTTTGGACAATTCCATGCTCCCAGCTTCATGGGAACAGTTTGGAGATGGCCCCTTCCTCTTCCAGGATGACTGGAGGCCAGTGCACAAACAAGGTCCATAAAGACATGGATGAGAGAGTTTGGTGTGGAAGAACTTGACTGGCCTGCACGGAGTCCTGACCTCAACCTGATAGAACACGTTTGCGATGAATTAGAGCGGTGACTAAGAGCCAGGCCTTCTCGTCTAACATCAGTGTATGACCTCACAAATGCGCTTCTGGAAGAATGGTCAAAAATTCCCATAAACACACTCCTAAACCTTGTGGACAGCCTTCCCAAAAGAGTTGAAGCTGTTATAGCTGCAAAGGGTGGACCAACAACATATTAAACCCGATGGATTAAGAATGGGATGTCACTTAAGTTCATATGCGAGTCAGGGCAGGGGAGCAAATACTTTTGGCAATATAGTGTAACTAAAAGCTTGGGGGTGTTCTGTTTGTTGGTCTCTTATGATGGAAATAGGAACACATAATCATTCAACAAGTCTGTGCCCCTATAGATGGTGGAAGAGAAAAGAAAATAGTGTTCTGCTGTGTGCACACTCGTGTTACAAAGTAAACAACTGTTGCTGCTGTGGTGTTACTGTCCTAAAATGATTTACACCGGTTGAGTTGTAGGGTTTTGTACTTTTAAACAATGTACAGTTTGTCAAATTTGATCTAATATGTGATTCTAGTCGACATACATACATACCTGAGTTATTAAGTATGTTTGTGTCCCTTGTCTCTGTGTGAATCTTGTGTTTCAGGAGTCAGGACATGTATCAGTCCAATCCTGACAGTTACAACGGGGCGTTGAGGGAAAACTACAGCTGGTCTCAGGACTACACGGACGTGGAGGTCCGAGTGTTCGTTCCCAAGTCAGTTGTTAAAGGCAAACAGGTGAACGCATTGTTTCGACCGCCTGACCCACGAGGAATACAGCTCTCTGTCGGTTTACTGATTGCAGCTGTGTTGTTGTGTCGCGCTTGCTGTCCTCAGGTCAGCGTCAGTCTGCAGACCAGCAGCGTGCAAGTGAACGTGAGTGACGGAGCCAAGGACAAAACACTGATGGTGGGAGAATTCACACACAAGATCAACACTGAAAACTCTCTGTGGAGTCTGGAGCCTGGAGACTGTGTGGTTGTGAGTTTACACAAACATTATCTCTCGTTGTCCTTGTTAGTGACTTTCAAATTTGCACAGATTAGTAATTTCATATAAAATCAACCAAAACTGAAAAAGTTCCCACCTGACTCCCTCAGAATCAGCAGATTTTTTAACACAGTAACGTTACTATATTTTACGAATCTGTGCAAACTATTAATATTTTTCAATTCTTACTAGTGATGTCCCGTTCTGATCAATGTTCATGAGTTGGCTTTATTGAACTAAAACCTCAGCCTGATCCTTTGTTTACATCTGCCATCACACAGGGGCCAGAGGAAGAGCACAGTTTCTAGCAGGATGTAGCTTAGATGTCTCCAGTGTGGAAATATTTGACAGTGGAAAACAAAAACAGTGTAGTGGTTGTAATATCTGCAGTGTGAGTATTTTGGTAGGTGATAGTGACAGAGCTGCAGTCAATAGTCGCAGTTTTATTCTGTACATAAAGAGTAAACACTTAGTGGAAGACAGTGAGTTACTTAGACAAAGGCGGCATTGAAGCAACACACACTGGAGGATACTTTTAAAAGGAAAAAGACAACAAAGCCAAAAAATCACAGAGAGGGTAACTCAATTCATCATGCTGCCTCTTAGTGTGGTGGAGAATCCAAGTTTCACCTTTTTTAAAAGCTTTTTTTTATTGAAAGCCTTCAGTGCCATAACTTTGCTCTGTTTGCACATGATGCTACATTTTACACCCTACCCGCTTCAGAACAAGATTCCTGATCACCTACAAGGTCTTTTATCAGATATGAAAGCTGTTGGCTTCACCTCTTTAAGGCGAAACAAAATTTTCTGTAGTTCATAATTAGTATTCTAGCTTTATTACAATGCTGCACTGAGTGGAATCATTATTTTGATTTGCTGTGACTGTAAATCTTAAAGTTAATCTATTACAGCATCATGAAGTTAAATTGTGATTGTATTGTTCATTTTGAATGTTTTTTCTATGTTTACTGCTGCAGTGCAGCACTGACTAGAATTGTTTGTTTACTTGGTTATTTTGTAAACAAAAAATAACGTTAAGGAACAGCTTGGATGCGGAAATGCACTTTTGTTTTTCTTAATGCATTGCAGAGCTCCCCCTTCAAACTGCCACCTTATCGTGGTGGGGGAGTTTGTGCGCCCGAATGATCCTTGGAGCTATGTTGTCTGGGGCATCATGCCCCTGGTAGGGTCACCCATGGCAAACAGGTTCTAGGTGACGGGACAGACAAAGGGCAATTTCAAAACTCCTATGATGAAGAAAAAACCAAGGACTGTGACGGCGCCCGGTATGGCACAGCCCCACTCTGGAGCCAGACCTGGGGTTGGGGCTCGTATGCAAGCGCCTGGTGGTCAGGCCTTTGCCTATGGGGCCGGGCCAGGCTCAGCCCGAAAGGACAACGTGGGCCCGCCCTCCAGTGGACTCACCACCCGGAAAGGGAGTCATAGGGGTCAGGTGCAGAGAGGACTGACTGGCAGTCGAGGGGGGCTGCCTCGACGGCCTGGTCCGCATACACAGCCTCTGGTTGTTGGGATGTGGAATGTCACCTCGCTGGGGGGGAAGGAGCCTGAGCTTGTGCGGGAGGTTGAGTGATTTCGGCTAGATATAGTCGGCCTCACCTCCACGCACAGCCTGGCCTCTGGAACCCAACTCCTGGAGAGAGGCTGGACGCTCCATTTCTCTGGCGTTGCCCGCAGGGAGAGGCGGCGGGCTGGAGTAGGCCTGCTCATTGCCCGTTGTTCTGTTGGCTTCATCAAACTAGGACCTTCAGCATGCACTGGGCGGTGTGTAGCCGAGTGTGGGGCGAGCGGGATGAGGATCAGCACCTCCAAATCCGAGGCCATGGTTCTCGACTGGAAAAAGGTGGCTTGCCCTCTCCAGGTCAATGAAGAGTCCTTGCCTCAAGTGGAGGAGTTCAAGTATCTCGGGGTCTTGTTCACGAGTGAGGGGCAGATGGAACGTGAGATTGACAGACGGAACGGTGCAGCGTCTGCAGTGTTGCGGTCACTGTACCAGACCATCGTGGTGAAGAGAGAACTGAGCAAGGGAGCAAAGCTCTCGATTTTCCAGTCAATCTATGTTCCTACTCTCACCTATGGTCATGAGATCTGGGTAATGACCAAAAGAACAAAATCGCGGATACAAGCGGCCGAAATGAGTTTCCTCTGCAGGGTGGGTGGGCGCTCCCTTAGAGAAAGGGTGAGGAGCTCAGTCACACAGGAGGAGCTCAGAGCAGAGCCACTGCTCCTCCACGTCGAAAGGAGCCAGTTGAGGTAGCTCGGGCATCTTTTCCGGATGCCTCCTGGACACCTCCCTGGGGAGATGTTCTGGGTGCGTCTCACCGGGAGGAGGCCTCGGGGAAGACCCAGGACACGCTGAAGAGATTATGTCTCCCAGCTGGCCTGGGAACGCCTAGGGGTCCACCCAGAAGAGCTAGGGGAGGGGTGTGTGGATCGGGAAGTCTGGGTGGCTTTGCCACGGCTGCTGCCTCCGTGACCCGACTCCGGATAAGCGGAAGAAGATGGACGGATGGATGGATGGATGGATGGATGGCATTGCAGAGCTATTCAGTTGCCAAGCATATACACTGGACGGATTTTAATAACTTTAATGTACTTGAAATGCGCAGTGTGCAACTGTATTTTCAATGAAAATGGTATTAGACTGGGACCCAGTATCAGCAAAAACTGGATATTAAATGACTCGGATCAGATCAGGGCCAAAAAAATGAGATCCCTAATTATTCCTGATTATCTGTGTGCCTTGATAAAGTGGTTCAGTTCAAATTAAACGTGTAGAGGAGCCTGTTGGTCTTTCCACAAGTCGAACACAGCAAACACAAACAGAAAACAACGTTAGCAAATCTGAATACTTTGTAAACACAAGGCAGAAGAGAATTTGTGCTGAATTGTTCTATCTCAGTTTCCATAAGTTTGAAGCAGAAATAATTAAGATGCTAGTGAACTTTTTGTATTCAAGCAAATTAAATCATTTCGCGAGTTAAAGGGGCCCTCTTTTGTGAAGAAAAGCATGTTTTTTGATACATTTTTAAATGCACTGCTTTTTTCTTTTCTTTTACATTTTTAGCTTTAATTTTCTGAAGTGGGGGGAAAAAAGTAAGCATCAAGCCCTAAATACTGATGAATGAGGACTCTCTTCTACTTGGATCTAAGTGTTTCCTGACCTCAAAAAGTCTTTTTGTCCAAAGTGGCTGCTGGAAAAGAAACTCGTCTTATATTCTGTCTAATATGGTAGCACACGTTAATTTAAGTCTCTGCCTTTGACTTCCAGCTGTCACTCAACAAGACCTCTGAGGTTTGGTGGAGCGCTGTGCTGAAAGGCGAAAAGGAGATTGATATAAACCAAATTAACCGCGAGCGCTCCATGGCAACAGTGGACGAGGACGAGCACGCTGTTCTGGACAGACTCACGTTCGACTACCACCAGAAGCTGCAGGGAAAGCCGCAGAGTCATGAAATGGTGAGAACCAAGTTCAAGTAATAACAGTGTGAGCCAAAAGCAGCTGTGCATCAGCTGTGTTCAAGTTAAATAACCAGGAGTAATGTTGTAAAAAGAGTAAGTACGTTGCTTCACCTTTGATTCAACATCACAGGTCACTCCAGTATGTATGTGTATAATTTCCCCTCTATTTATTGCTGAATTCATGGCTAGAAGTAAAGAGAACACCTCTGTACAGTATGACACAGTGATAATGCCATGAATCATTAAAAAAAAAAACAAAAAAAAAACAAATCCTTTAAATTTAATTTATAAAAATTGAATCTGAACGATTTCTTCTTGGGGAATTTTTGAATCAGACACATAAGATAAAATGATTTTGATGAAATATGACAGTTTTAAACATAGATTTGGTTATATTTCCTTATTAAACTAGATGAAAAATGGTATGTGTCTGTTGTAAGGTTGATAATCTTAACAGTTTCTGGCTGTGCTAATTAGTGTAAAATTTAAAAAAGACATGCCTTTCAACAAAATCAGTTTTAAAAAAAGGGAAAAGAAAAAATACCTTAAATGTCAGAATAGTAGGATGAATAGTAAAAATACCAGCAAACATCTTCAAACCAATTATATTGTTAGCTGATTTAACCACAGTGAAACTGTGTAATTTTACAGTCACATATTATAAAGGACCAAATTACCATTTGTAAAAATACAGATTTTTGATATGGACAATATTTGCTGTTTTAGCCTGTTTGTTTTGTTTTTTTTGTGCTTAACAAAATAAATCCTTTTCTTCTGTGATTTTACCAGTTACTTACCAGTTACAATCTGTAAAATCAAAAGATTACACTTAAAATCTGTTATACATTTACTTATTTTTTTACAGTGTGCTGTGGGTTTTGAGGTTTTCAGGTGAAGTGGCTTAATTAACATTCGAAATTTCTAAAAATGTGAGCTAGTAGAAGTTGGGACCTGTTGCTGCAGTGGACTAGTGTCTTCTTTGAACTGTAATAACCTTTGTATTAACAATATCGTTTGAGAGTCTGTTAAGTTTTGGTTCCTTGTTTGTCCACAGAAAGTGCATGAGATGCTGAAAAAGGGCTGGGACGCCGAAGGGTCGCCGTTCAAAGGGCAGCAGTTCGACCCGTCCATGTTTGACATCCCGCCCAGCGCGGTGCAGTTCTGAGACGCAGCCAGATATGAACTGATTCTAGTTTGTTCACAGAGCCGGCTGCAGGAGAGACGATGTTTACCTGCCGAACTAAAATGCTGGAAGTTTGTTTTTAACCGTAGAAGCTGCATGTCAGGGTTTGTGGGTTTGGAAAGGGAATATTCCCACCTTGATTCTGACGAGGATGTGTCATGATGTCAAACATTTATTTGATGTTTTGGCAGTTGGAAATCTGATAAATATGATTATTTAATAACAGTGCCTATGTGTATGTCTGCCCTACTGACTGATTCTGTTGTTTCATTGTTATTCTCATTCCTATTGTTGAGCTTTTATTTCAGTAGCCACAGTTTTTTTCTAAATATTCAGCAAAATTCCAGAAAAATGCAAATTATTTCACCTTAGGAGTTGATTTGTGAAAATACACAGCTGATGCAGAAAGAACATCAACAGAACAAACGGTGAAAGACGAGACAGAGACGTGACATTTCTGTATGTTTGATGGAATAATTCAAGGTGCAACTTCACCACAACCAAGTGAGAAAACTTTTTTGTGATATGCCAAATTTTGTCTTCTCAGGTTTTTAATGCACAGAGACAAACAGCAGGATGGAAATCTTGTTTAGCAACAGACATATGCTCTGGTCTGTTACTCTGTCATCCGTCATGGTGATGGGCAGCACTGCAGCATGTCTGATGAGAAGATCCACTGCTGCTTTACTGTTTCAGCTGCCATGCTCTGCTTTTAACTTCCAACCAAAAAAGAAAAAAATGTTGAATAAAAACTTATTAAATAGAAAAAATAAAGTTAATTCTTGACTTTTAATATGTCCTCTCTCCAGTTAGGACACACATCAACACATCTCACAGCTTTTTACTTTTTTTTTTTTTTTTAAATAGCTATGCCTAAAAATACATTATGGGCCAGAGCATGGGTCATTCAGTGAAAAATCAATTAGTGCTTCTCACTTGACCAACTCCCCCACGACCCTAGTGAGGATTAAGTGGTGTATGGATAATGGATGGATGGATGGGACTTGACCAACTGAGAATCAGCTCTTTATTTATGTCCAATAATTTTAGTATTTTTAATTGAGCAAAAAAAGTTACTCATAAAATTAAAGGGTGCTAAACAAAAAAACAGACTTTGGCTTTTGATTGTGACACCTGGAGTTAATATAAATTTGATTTGGTCACAGTTTTTAAAAGAACTGAAATGTATTTTCCAGCCCTGAAAATGTGATGCATCTATCACCTGTACTTATGAAGTTATCAGGCTCAGGAATGATAGAAAAAGGAACATGAATTAAAAAGTGCAACATTTTGACCCACCCTTACGCTGGTGAAGGCCGTGTGCTTTTGCATGGCTTCATTAAATATGCTAACTTTTTTGTGCATAAAAAATCAGCTGATTGTGAGTGGGGTCAGGTGGGAACCTTTCTCAGATTTTGTTGTTTTTGTTTAGAAAGACATCTAGAACATGAGATGAAATCTGAGCAATCTCCATCCACGATGCAGTTGAAAGCAAGATTTAGTTTGTGTTAATCATGTTAATTATGGTCATGGGAATGTTGATGTTAATTCCTTTACATACATGATAAAGTGGCTGCACGGTGGAGCAGTTGGTAGCACTGTTGCCTCGCAGCAAGAAGGTCGCCGGTTCGGTGCCCCCACCGGGATCTTACTGCGTAGAGTTTACATGTTCTCATGTTCTTTCTGGGTTCTTCGGCTTCCTCCCACACAGTCCAAAAACATGTCGAGGTTAGCTGGCGATACTAAATTGTCCGTAGGCGTGAATGTGAGTGTGCTTGGTTGTCTGTCTCTAAGTGTAGCCCTGTGATAGACTGGTGACTTATCCAGGGTGTCCCCTGCCTTCACCCTAAGTTGGCTGGGATAGGCTCCAGCCCCTCCGCGACCCTAATGAGGATAAAGCGGTGCATAGATGATGGATGGATGGACATAATATAGTTCAGTTCATATGAAATACATAATTAATAATTTCCCTTTTTCACCCAACCGTCTCAGATGCATTGGACAGCATCACTCAAGACCACTCACATTGAAATGTTTCAGCCACTGTGGGATTCAGTCAAGAGTTTTTTTTGATAAAAACCACAACAAAAACATTTAACTAAGACACAAACATAAAAATCAACTGTCATGTCTTAATTGTGGCCTGTTGATGGTAAACAGCTAAGTTTAAGATTTAAATTCACCAAATCTCCACATTTTATCAAACTTAGTTTGAATTTCTAACTTCTAATCCTTACATTTCACGTGTTATTGCGCACCATGTTGTTTAGGTTTTTTTTGTTTTAGTTTCTCCTTTAGTGTCTAGGACCCTTGTTCTTTGCAACAGCACCACCTACTGAAGTGGATAACTGAGAATCAGGTCGTAGCACACACTGAAGTGAGCGCCACATTTCTAGGCAAGATGGACCACAATATGTCCCTGAATGTGAATCAAGTTTAATGTGATGAACATAAAAAAAGATGTGATGCATTCAGTTGAATAGCTAAGTTATTGATAGCGTGCTAAAGAGGGGTTGTTCACTATAATTTCTTGGTGAGTGGGGTGGGATGGGGGTGTTGTTGCTTTTTGATTGTTATTATGTCTATCAACCAACTGCAGGACAGAAAGTCATATTTGAGTAGATTTAACCTTTGAAGCCATCCATAGTTTGACAGAATGCAGTGTTTTGGGTGGAACAACCCTCTAAAACCTGAGTGCACCAACAGAATGCAATACTGGATCTGGGATCTTTCTGTGTGGAGTTTGCATGTTCTCCCTGTGCAGCATTGGTTCTCTCAGGGCTTTCCGGCTTCCTCCCACAGTCCAAAAACATGTTGAGGTTAATTGGTGATTCTAAATTGTCAGTAGGTGTGAATGTGAGTGTGCTTGTCTGTCACTCTGTGTAGTCCAAATACAACCATTTACAGGGTTCTTTATATTTGCAATCATGGAACTGCCCTGATCCACCACCACAGTGTGATGACCTCAGGGTGAAAAAAATATTATCTTATCAAGGCAAAAGTTGCCTGAACTTCAAAATAGTTTAAAAGAAAACAAAAGCAAAAGTTGGAGTTGTAACTACACACAATATTATGTTAATGCAACATTATTATGTCAATGCAACCCATCAAAAAGCATTTTCAACTTAAAGGTTCATCTAAATCAGTAAATTCAAGGTTTTACCGTTAAAACAGTGCATTTAATTTAGGGAATACATCCCTTGTATGGGGTGTAGTTGAGAAGTCACACTATGTCCATCCAGCCATAGTTTCTGTCTTTTGGCTGCAGGTTTTCTATCAGTGTTGCATTGTTCAGCAGTTTGTATCACTTGTTTCCAGAATTATTCAAAGTAGGTTTCATCCCTACTCTGTAATGAACAGTTTCTAACTGTTATAAAAGGAAGAAAAACAACAACTATTTACTTTTGTTTATCGATTTTCTCCGTTTTGTTAAATTATAGGTATCTAGCAAAATCACAGAGAAACAACCAAAAAGTGTTACTTTACATGTTGACTGCAAAATAAATAGATATAATTCAGGCTAAAACTTTGAATGATGCTAAAAATAGAATTATTTCACAGATATCTGCCCTTTTAGTATTCCACATATCTCTGCTTCCAGATTTTCTGTTTTTTTAAAGTGGGCTTTTTTTTCTACATTGAGACCTTATGAACAAGAGGCCAATTTAATGTACTTCTCAGTGCATGTAGCCCTCACGTGAACACATTATTGTACATACTTTTAAAGCGACAATAACAAGAACAACTGAGGGTGATCCAGCGGTGCCTCTGCAGAAATAATGACGTTATTGAATATTTTGTGACTGACTGAGGGTTTCCTCTGTAAGTAACGGTTCTCTGTCCCCTCAGAGTTAAAGTGCAGTGATATGATTAGAGGCTGTGGGCTTCGGTTCATTCTGTGATTTATTATAAAGTGGAATGAGACGCAGCTCTCCCCCGCACTCTTCAATCAACGCACTCTCAGCCCCTCATTCCACTTTTCTGTATTTCTTTCTCTTTTTTCTCTCTCTCCATCTCTCTCCACCCGGAGGATCACGTCATGCAGTGAGCTCACGTTACGGTATTTAAAGAGTCCGTCCTCCCCGCCTGGCAGAGCGGAGAGCCCAGTGCCGTCCGAGCCGGGACCGAGCGTGTGTGAGCCGGGCTGCAGCGGAACCACTCAGCCGTCCGGAGGTCTGAGGTGGGCGGAGACTGAGCGGAGGTCCTGCCGTCCTGCAGCCACAGACGCAGCGCGCATTTCGGACACCGAGGAGGACGCATCATGGCAACGACTACTTGTACGCGTTTTACGGATGAATACCAGCTGTACGAGGAGCTTGGCAAGTAAGCCCGCTGTTCTCCTTCTTTATCTCCTGCATGCAGCCTGACCCCGTCCTGTAACTGATGGAGATCTGCACATCTGCTGGTGCTGGATACAGCTCCGTCCCAACTAAACAAAAAACGCGCGCTGGTCCGGAGCGTCTAAAATTAGCCTCCTCTGAGAACCAAATCCTCAGAGCTTCTTTTTGCACTTGCCATGCTGTAACAGTTAGTTGGATTTTGCATGAAGATGGGGATGCATGAGCCCAGGAGCACTTCTGGGCGTCCCCTCCTCTTCCTCCTCCTCCTCCTCTGCCCCAAAGGCTAATTAGGGACAAACAGGCCTAATATCAAGGAAAAGCTGATATGTTGGAATTAAGCTCCCTCATCATCAGCTGGCTTTAATCACAGTGGCACACAGCTTTGCAGAGGAGTCAGAGAATAATGCTGCTGCTGCTGCTGCTGCTGCCCTTGATCCACTGCAAATCTAATGAGGTGTGTCTTGTGATTAAAAAAGGAGAAGAAATACTGAGATGTGTGGCCCCTAATAGAATGCAGACAAATGGAGAGAGACTGAAGAGGCTATGGGTGCCACAGTGGGTAGATGCAAAGTGGACTCAGTGTCTCTGTCAGGTTGTGCGTGGGTAGAGAGGATCTCTCTCTGCAATGTTTGCCTCACAGGAACATTTTTTTTTTCGTACAGCCAGCTCTGAAGGGGGAAAAAAACAGCAAGTTGAGTGCTGGTTTCAGTTCTGAACGTTAAGTGTTACAGTTCCTTCTTGTGTGATGCTGCTGATCTCCTGCATTGTGTGTGGTGAAAGTAATAAGTTGAAGACAACAGACATGCTGGAGTAGCAGCAGCTGTCCCTGCTGATAACACAGCTGCATTGCTTGTGTTGCTGGTGTTGTTACTGTCTTATTTGTCCTGGGTTTGTGATTCACATGTAAACTGTTCAGTGACTTCTAGTCCAGCCATAATTTGATTTCTTTGATTGTCTTTGAACAAAAGGCTGTACATTTGAACAAGGAAAATGAACAGAAATAACAGATATAATAGATGTTCTTTTGTGAAAGAAGTAACCACACTTTTGACAACAGAAGCTAATATCACATCTTGTTGGAGAAATAACTTCTTGTAGATGGTTGCCATAATTGTCTCAGATGTAGACTTGCTGTAATTTTTGACCATTCTTCCTGCAAAATTCCTTTAGTTGCAAGTGCTGACTGTATATAAAGATGGACAAATGAGGAAAATTAACTTTTTTAATCACTTACTGAACACAAATATGAATATACATTGATATTAGTAGCTAGTATTGCCCCTTTTAGCAGAAATAACTCTTTGCAGTTGTTTTTTGTACATTTGTTAACCCGTCTTTGATATTGGCTTGCTATAATTTTTGACCTTTTTGCTGCGAAACTCTCACAGTTGCAAGCATTTCCGATATATGTAAAGATGGAAAAACAAGAAAAAGTAACTAAAATATCAGTAATTATGATATTCCTTTGTGGAAAAAGTAACTACACCCTTGACATCAGAAGCTGGTATTTCCCCGTTCAGCAGAAATAAATAAGTTCTTGTAGTAGCTTTGTGTAGTTGGCCAGCAATCTGTGCTGAAATTCTGACCCCTCTCCATGTAAAATTCCTTCAGTTGCGAGCAAAAAATTGTCTATGGAGGTGCAAGAACACAGAAAATGAGTGGTTCCAATGATTTACTGAACAGAAATATTGGTAGATGCTATATTTGTTTTTGAAAAAAAGTAACCACGCCCTTGGCATCAGAAGCGTGTATTGCAGACATAAATTCT